CAAAACAATTAGAAATGGAAATAAGGATTTCTTGTTGACTGTGTCCTTTCTACTCCCTGATTTATTGTGGAAGCAGGCACTGGTCATTAGCTCAGGCTTTGCTGCATGTTGCCAGGGCCTCAACCTGTGTGTCTTTTAGCAACAGAAATGGATTTAAACAGCTGATCAGGAAAATAAAAATCTGACTGGGAGGGAGGATGGGGTAGGTTGGTGGGGAGGTGGCAAGTAAGGTCACGCATAGGGTGGGTTCCCCTTTCTCCAGCTCTCGGCTGCATGTCGTGTGGTTTCATGGCAACAAAACTGGGATTTTGCAGTAGCTGAAATGCCTTTCTGCGAGGATGATCCACAGTGTGTCTCTAGGGGACAGGTGAGGGTGGGTGTAACTATTCTTCCGAGTTCTCCAGCAGAGGCTTTTGCTGGGAAGAGGCATTATTAGGGATGGTACTGTGGTTCTGTCAAAGCTCTCTTTAAATGGGAATTGGGTTTTTGACATCATGGGAGATGCAGTCAGATATGGGAACACAGCCAAGAGGGGAGCATGGGAGCGTGAGTCACCACGGCAACATTTCCAAATTGAAAATATTCAGGCTTCTTTTTCTTCTCCCTGAGAAGTTGAAATTTTCTGCAGACTAGTTCTCCACTAGCTGTGATCATTCTGATGGCTGGTCCAAGAGGCCTCAGTGCTGCTGGAGATCAGTGCTGAAAGCAAACGCAGCGATTCAGCAGATAGGCCAAATACTGAACTTGGTCACATTGGTGTCCATTTAGTGTAGCTCTGCTGGCTTTCTAACGGAGTTGATGCTCTGAGATCACCACCTTGCCTAATATGTCTGCCACCACTTGGCTGATATCAGAGGAGATTTCACATGGTCAGGCAGTGCCTTCCACCCAGCACTGTGCCCAACTGGGCAAGTCAAGTATAAATGCCGCTGATATTTGAATGTCATGATTGTGTTGAGGTAGCTGAGGGGTGACCTGAGCCTCCTAGGATAGAGCTAGGGTGTGTTCCTGGCATGTCTGAGAAAAAACACTCCTAAGCGTACCCTGGGAAATGTGAGGAAGCTGGTCTAGGGTGTGCCCTGAGTAGCCATGAGCCGCTGCCCCTGAAAGAGCTCGGCTGTTTCTCAGGGTTTGGTGCGTGCGAGCAGGTGGGGCATGCTTGGGAGACTCCTTTCCCCAGACCCACTTCAGGCTGAAGCTGTTTGATGATGAGGGGCTTCTCACCCACATCTCTCAGGTAAAAATCTCTCTTGGCCAGCAGAGTTCTTCAGGGACTGATGTGCTCTCACCCGGGAGACTGGGCAAAGGTCAGCAAATAATGAACATGCTGGGCTGTTGGAGAACCCTGTGAGATGGTTTAACATTGCCTAGGGAAAAACTGCTGTAAAAGGAGACTAACTTGTATTAAACAGGTCTTTGTTGACTGAAAAACGGGTCCTCATGACTGTGCATTTAGCCTTTATTATACAAGGGGGCTTGGGTGGGGAACTAGCAGATTCCAGGACCCAGTGCTAGGACTTGGCAGTGGCTCTCTAGGCTCTACCAGTAGGCTCCACCTTTGCTATGCAGGACAACCACTGCTGAGTCGGGCAAGTCCAGTTAGCTTCAACCAGGTTCTCAAGGAGTCTGGGCTACAGGGGTGTAGGGCAGAGAAGAGAAACCTTGGGGGGCTGCTGTTGTGTTCCTGAAATACAAAGACAGCCAGGGAGGGAGGGAGGTTGTGCTGGGAGGACAGGGTGGGTGGGTACTGCCTGTTGAGAAGCAGGGTCCCAGTGTCCCTCATGGTGTGAGTGGATGAATGGCTTCAGTTTCCAAGATGTTAGTTTAGAGATCTTTCATCAGGATTTAAGAATCCTTGTAAAATGATTTTACCTTGGGGGAGGTAGGAGGCACTGGGTTATTCACAAGACTAGTTCCTGTGTCCTAAGAGATCTCTGCTCCCAAAAGAAACTCTGAAAGTAATGGAAAAATATTGCCAGCTGGTTGGTTATGAAATCTTATGGTTGCTCATCTGCTGTGGTGCTGCCTCTGTGCCACAGGCAGCCCAGGACACCCTGTGACAGATGGGTAAGAAGTTGGAGCAGCAGTGCTGGAAAGCTGGTGCTGGTGGTTGCTTGTGTCTGGAGCGCAGGGAGTCGCAGAGGAGAGGGCTGTGAAACGGCAGAGCATTCAAAATTTTTCACACTTCATGACATCCAAAAAAGTTCACTCCTGAAGAAATGCTGCAGAACAGAGGCATGTTATTTCAGAGAAAGTGGGTCAGCTTTCAAGTTCATAAAGTGGAATTTGAGTGGAAAACTTGTTTATCTTCCCAATGTGAATGGCTTAAAGCGCAGCTCCATGGGGAAAACACCTCTGATCAAAACTGCCAATTCAAAAAGCAAGGGGGAGAGTGCAGAACATTTCCGGAAAAACCCAAGGGGCATAAAATATATTGGGTTTCAGATCAGTCTTCACTGAAAAAGATCTGTCAACTCAGTAGGGTTTGGATCAGATCTTTGCTTACTCCTATCTCTGCTTGTTTTTTTCATATGGACTAGAAGGCTTTCCAGCACGCTTTTGAGAGAAGTCTTTCATCAGTAGCTTCTCTTCCTCATAAGCACACAGGGGAGAGATCTCAATGTTCACTTGGATGTTTTCCTTATGCTGAGTGCATGATGATCAGTTATGGAAGTAGGCGTTGGCATTCTAATTTATTGCAACTATTATCTTGTGCACCCGATGAGCGCTGGCATAGCCCCCTGGCTGGCAAAGCTGCTCACTGAACTGAAATTTGAGGTCCTCAGCCCCTTGATTTAGAGTGGTTGTCTTGTCTTACTGCAAAGTGTTGGTGCTGCACATTCCCTTCCAAACCAGGTTAGCTCTTTTGAAACATCATGCTTGTCAGTCATTCTCTTTTATCCTAATGCCCAAGACGGTGGGGAGATGCAACTTTCTCTTTTATCCTAATGCCCAAGACGGTGGGGAGATACAACTTTAAGCTGTTTTAAAAGGTGAGGAAGAGTTGCCTTTTGGGATTGCCTGTAAACTGCTTCTACATAACTATTAGACTGCTAGAGGAACAAGCAGATATGTAAGAGAAATTGCTTTGGCTTTACCCTTGGATAAAACAGAATTCTGGCTTTTAGCAGTATACATGGAACAAAACTACTTAGAAGCATGTAGATGTTAAGACTTCTTCCAGAACAGTTTATACCAGCGGCATTTGTCTGGCTACATCCTAAGATTATGGCTGGTAAAATGGGCTTCTGGGTGAAGAGTAAATCCCCACACCCTCTGCCCCCTCTCAAAACCTATTGAAATCAGTGAGAAGTTTTTCAGAGGAAGGTTACTAGTCGACAAGGATGATGTCAAGGATAAGCATCAGCTGTTTAACAGAAGGGGAAACTGAGGCACAGAAGGATTTAGTAGCTTGGTGATAGTCACAGGGCAAGTCAGTCATGGAGCCATCAACTGCAACTCAAATCACTCACCCAGCAGTCCTGGTCTCTGATCATTGGAGCATTCTGTCTTCTATGTGGCTGAAGTGCTCAGTGCTCCAGGAGATGATGATGGAAAGACAAAGATCCTGATGAAAACAAGCCTTGCAAGTCAGGCTCCCCAGTGCTAAACCCCTGATCTGTAGTAGATTAGGACTTTTCTTGATACCTAATCAGCATGTCTGTGAGAGACCTTTCCAGCTGCTTCAAGAGGAAATAATTGCAAATTTTCACATGTGAGATAATTGACTGCTAATTACTCTTAATGTTCCTAATGATTGTTACTTTTGTTAGTCTGCCTGATCCAGCAAGGCTCTCCCTTCTAATAAGGATCTCATTTTGTACCTATGCATGCTGCATTTCACCTCAAGATTTCAAAGCATATACCCAAACTTGTGGTCTATGATGTGCTTATATAACTTTATTTAGAGCTGTAGGTTTCCAAGGTGCTCTGTACACATGGAGTAGGATCAGCTTTCCATCCTCGTTGCAGGCAAAGAAATGGTGGGTAAGAGTTCAAAAGGTTGGGGGCCGAGACCACCAAAACCTCAAGTTGGCAGGTAAATGAACTACCACAGTTTAGCCCACTTTGTGCAGTTACAGAGTAACATTATAGTGCTTTGCAGATGGTGAACCAGGTATGATGTCCAAAGCTGTTTGGTGAGTCAAGTGTAGCACTGGGAATAGAACTTGGAGTTGTGACTGATCTTCCTACTGTAACCTCAGTACCTGCACCTTCCCACATGAGCCAGCACCATTTCTTATACCGCTTGTAATTTTACACATAAGGGATGGTAAGATTTGTCTTGTTTGGTTTTCTCCCCGTATCTCGCAATCCATGACTGCCCAGCTGGCAGTTCTCTGTGCCAGGGGGACCTATGTAAGAGAACAGTGGCACTTTGTTCTAAGGCAGGAGGTAGGGTGGATTTGCACCTTATAAACTAACTAGATCAGATATACATAGCCCAAGCTTTTGTGAGCCTAAGCTCACTTCATTCGATGCTCTGAAAGGACATGCATAGAGCAGTGTATAAAATGGAGAGAGTGATTTGAGTCTATAAAGTACATATCTACCCTGCCTTCTGCCTGACTTCGGACTGCCACAGCTAACTGCCTCTCTGTACTCTCCATTGTGAAGTTGGAAGTGCCCCTACAGCAACTACATGCTGATCAGACACATATGGATGCAGTCCACAGAAAGTGGGATTTTAAAAGTGGGTTGATTTACTCCAGGTGTCTGAGAAACTTCACCCCAGTCAAAGCAAGCTATATGCAAAATTCAAGGTGTTTATCTCTGCGTTAACCAAGCTTTTGGCCAGTAACCAGGGTATGTGTTTTGATATCTCATCCTCTTCTATGTATGTCTATAGAATAGCTCCCTGCTCTTTTTGAAGTAGGTGTTGATTTTACATGTTAAATTGCAGTGTGGGATCTGTAGCCTGCCGCAGAGCTGCGGTCTCTATTTCTGGCTCTGGCATTGACTCCAGTAGAGTGACCTTACCTGTCTCTGCCTTAGTTTCCTCCTCAGTACTTCAGGTGCATTGCACTGGGCCTGGTTCTGGAGTGCCCACGTGAGAGTTGCTTTGGGTATGGATGATACAAAGAATCCCAAAGTTTTTGAAGTGCTGGGTTATCAGGGATGATTATTGGAGTTCCTTAAGAATTCTGTAGTTCATGAATTTGTCTGCACTATAGATACACGAGTCTTGGAAATGAACCTCCCTCCTTCCCCTGGTTGGCCTGGATCAACCTCCCACCCTTCTGTGGGAGAGGCTGAAGGAGATGGCACTCTAGGACCTACTCAAGAGCTCTTGTTGTTCAGACAGTCACAAGGAGCCTGGTTGGCCTCCAAGTATTTGCTGGAGCCAGGATAATACTTGTAATGTCTGCAGGCCTGATCATTCAGATTTGTTGGATAGAGGATCCATGTTTATATTACACTACTCCAAGCATACCTGCGGGATTATATGAGCAGCATGCATCTGCATGCAAATATTTCTGGGACATCCTTAATCAGATAGAAATCTGTGAGTTCTTACCATTTTATGCACTAGTCTCTCTGGAGTTGATCTCATCGCAGGGTATGGCCCTGACAATTTGGTGAACCAGAGTCATCTGCTACAAGTCTTCATCATCCTGTCAGTGCCTTCACTCTTCTTTGCTCTATACCACAAACCGATGGAGAGGAAGGATGATCCAGTCGTTATGGTGCTGGCTTAGGACAGGGGAGACCTAGGCTAAAGTCCTTGCTTTGATACAGACTTTCTGGGTGGCCTTGGGCAGGTTAGTTTGCCTCCATTTCCCATCTGGAAAACTGGAATAATAGCACTCCCCACTTCAGTGAGAGCTGGGAAATGCCCAGATACAAAGGAGACGGAAGCCGCATTGGGCATTTATAGACATGCTCCAAGAGACAGCATCTGGGAGGGGGAGGAGAGAGGGGACTTTAATTAAAGCACCCAGAGTGTCACATGTATCAGCAGTCCTGTGCTGAAAAAAGGTGCCCCTACCACACATACACGAGGACACCGTGAGGACACTGATACATGTGATGCTGAAGTCTGCTGGAGTGTAATAATTACCATGCTCCAGCAGACTTGATTAATTGAGTCTGCTCCAATGCGCTGTAATTACACAGCACATTGGATCAGCCTCCCTGCACATGTATAGGACCCCATTATGTTTTAAATCATAAGAAGACAGTATTTGTAGGACAGAGTTGTCTGCTCCATCTTCCCCCAGGGCCTCTGGCTCTGCTAGGCCCCAGAATTGTGGGGCCCAAATACGTTGTGGCTTGGCCACGTCAGGGAACTTGCTAAGATGGCTTACAGGGCCTGTTACAACACTGTGGGGTTAGCAGGAATCAACAGCTCTTGGAGGGGGGTTCTTCCAGAATCCCTGATCTGTGCTCCCCCTGCCAGCTTATATATTGGTGACCCTGACTGGGAGCCTGAGGCAACACAGGCCTCTTTAACAAGATTGCACTGCTTATATCTTTTAGGGAAAGTTGCCTTTCACACTGCATTTACATATAATTCATCTGGAGTCCTGCCAACATGAGCAATGTTTGTGCAAGGGAGGCCAAATTCTGTTCTAGGATGTGCTTCGAGTCCCAAGGGACTTGTCTGCACACATCCAAGAAGGGGCTGGTCCTTTTCAGGGTCATGAGTTTGAATAGGGCCAGATCCAGAAGGGTTGCAGTGGCATGGCTGCACCCCCCTTTTGGATTGGACCATACTGCAGGAGTCTCCGAGGACTTTATAAACTTCCTAAAGCAGGTGAAAATGCTGTCTCCCTTCCCCTGCCTACTCCAAGGAACACTCCTTCCCCACCCTCCTCCTCCCCCTCTCTCACATGCATTTTCCTGCTGCCCCAAGAGTGGAGAAGCACCAGAGCCTTTCCTGCCTGCTGCACAGGGGCTGGACTCAGCTTAGGATGGGGACAAGGGCAGTAGGGATGGACAGGGGTTCCCCTTCCTTGTGCTGTGACTAGGCAGGGTGGGGGGAACTCTCCAGTTACCCTGTTGCCACTGTCCCCTCCCCAGGTGAGCCCAGCCCCGCTGGCTCTGGGACTTCCTCTGGAGCAGTGGTCCCAGGTCACCTCTGGCACCACGGCACCTACATCAGCCACGCTCCATGGAAGACGATTTTGGAAACGACTCCGATTTGTAGTGGAGCTGAGATTCTGTCCTGCAGTTCCTGTGGATTTTTCTGTGCTGGCAATGGCTTTCAAACGCAGCCTGCATGATCCTGTCTGTTTTTCTATGTTCTATTTATAGGGAATTTAATAAAATATCAATTAAATGAAAACAAACTCAAGATCTAACTGGAAAATTGTGGCTAGGCAAGGTTATTGCTGGCAGTTGCTTCAAACTCCTGTCAGCTCTCCTCATAATCCTTGTTTCTGGAGCAGCTGATCTGGGTCCCTGTGTTGGAGCAGCTGGGCAGTCTCAGAGCTGGAGCAGAGACCCTTTTGCCACAATATCCTCAGTACCACCAGGCTTTTGAAGTGGCTGTGGTGTCCTCTACTAAATTAGATTTGAAAGGGAGGAAATTCTGAGCCAGCAAGGCTGACTTGAGGGAGTTTCCCTGCCTGTAATTAACACTCTGGACAGATGCTGCTAATTAACTCTCATGAGTCAACATTTTTCTGCTAATGTCTGGTGTATCTGGGGGGAACAGGGAGGTGCTTTCTGGACAATTAGAGCTAGGGGAAGGAGGTGACTTTGCATATGGAGAGAAGAATTATGCCTCTTCAGTATTTTATTTCCTCTTTAAAGTTCATCTTATGGGGTGACCAGTAAACTGGGGGCTTGTTTTGGTCAGTTCATTTGACCCAGCCTCTGCATTTAAGTCTCTCATTTCCTTGTAAGGTCTTTGTTTCCTGGGCCCCTGCTTGCTTCAGCTTCCCCATCTTCCTGTTACCTTAGCAAGGGCCGCTGCATCGGGGAAATCTCTCTCCAGGGCAGGATGCTAACAATAATGGCTCTTGCTTTCTTTGAGATTTTTGGGCCTATGCCCTGCCATTCTTCAGCCTGCTGAGTTTCAAGGAACCAGGCACCGGGCTGAAATGAACATACAGGGATCTTGCCCTTAGGGCAGATGCCCCTCTGTGCTTGGCTCCTCCTTCATGAGCCCACTGCTGCCTGACCCTTGAGGAATATGATGTGGTATTAACACAAAGTAGGGAGATGATCCTGCCTATCTTGTTCGTAGCTCGAGGATTGCTCTGTCCTTGTTCTTTATTACCATGGATGCTTAAATGAGAGTGTGTTTATTGCACTTTTAAGGATTTTGAAATACTCTGGCTGCATGTTTACAACCTGTGGGCATTATTGCTGGCCTGACATTTCTGGGGAGATTATTGCAATCACACAAATGAAGGATTATATCACTTTCACTGCAACACACTCTTTTGCCTCTCTTTCCTGCCTTCCATTCCCTATGTTCCTGCCTACTTCCCTTTTACTACTCCATTCACCTGTTTCTACCACATTCCTCAATGCTCCATCTGTTTGGCTGTCCCTTCTGTCTTGAACTCATTCTTTTTCTTCCTTCTCCAAGTCTCTCCTTCAAACCCACCACATGCAGCCACTCTTCTCCTGCCTTGTGATATAGATAATCTGTCCAGACACACCTCGTGAATTCGGTTTAGTAATGGTGACTCTCTCTGCATGGCTGGGTCAGACTGTGAGGCCCATTTTGAATGTAGGACTGTCTGCCTTCTGGCTTTTTACCTTCATCTTGGGCCAACAATAGAGCATTTTTTTAAGTTTTAAGGGTCTGCTGTTCATGCTGAAACACTTTTGGAAAAAGAGGTGGCTGGACTAAGAGAAGTGGTGTGCTTGGGTACTAAAGCGCTGGATCATTTGGTGGGGCCCTTTGGTTACTTGATATTGTCAGGGTACAACTGACAAGAGGGGTTGCAGGATGTAAAAGAGGAGGTCTGGCAAGCCATTTTGAGAGAAATAAGATAAGCCAAATGCAGGAGGATAAGGGGGTGGAGGAATCCTGGACTACTTAAGACTGAAGCCTGGCGCATGCTCAACAGGTGAGAAAACTGATGTGGGGAAATGTATACAGGTATTTTCCTGTTTAGATCTGTGGATTTTCTTGTGCTATCAGTTTGCATTAGAAACCTTGGCAGAGCCTGTAGATCTTGTGCTTCAATTATCATTTGTCCCTGGGGAGGTAAATCG